TTTCAGGACTTAGCGCATGATTTGGCAAGTGGGGTTTGGGTTATAATGTACTTAGGGCGTCTATTACCTGAGATTACCAAAATTTGCCTGTCCACTGCCTTTTGTTATCTCTTACTGGATCTCGAATAAAACGCGAAAAACGGCTGCATTCGGTTGGCCATCTAGGCTTTTTCTCGCCCATAATATTTTGTTATTATCAACTTACATCCAGTTCCTCAGCGATATCCAAACCGGTAAGGAACACTCTTGTTGGCAGCTTGTCCACAGGTCCGTATTGTTGACGGAATCGTTCGAATTGGTCAAAGACTGCTGGGTACATTGCATGTGACATCAAATCTTGATCTCTAGAAAGCATTATTTTACGCGCTGGGAGCCTTTCAATGGATCTGCCACTTACTTCATTGGTCTGCCATGTTTCTCTTCCAGTTGTTTTCTAACCTTTTCGAAGTCCATAGGTGGAATGTCTTCACCCATTCGTCCTTTCGCCTTTGGCTTTCCACGCAAAACTTTCGTTCTTAGTGGTTCTGGGAAGCCATAGGGAGGTTGACCAATGTTACCCTGAAGATGAGATTTATCTTCGTAATATAGTCAGATAAATCCGTCCAACCTGCATGTAGCCGACGACACTAGCTGGGAAGGACAGATCATCTGCACGTTCCACAAGAGTCTCACGAGTCAGATTATTCTGCACCATGAATTGAGCCAAATCACCGACAACCTTTGATGATGGAGTAACCTGAAAAAATCCATTACACTTTAAACTTCTAGAGGATCCTCATTTACCTTAATAATGTCTCCCAAAGCTAGGTTGGCCTCGCGATACATGCGTTTCACATCATTAAACTGGTTGCCAAGACCGAGAGAGAATGCCTAAAAGAAGAAAAGTTAGTTCCTTGCTTATTCTCCATATATTCGGTTCATGTCCTTCAATTGTACCTGGAACTGCAAGTTGGTATACTGTCCTCCAGGAATCTCGTGCTTGTAGACGTCAGCGTTACCGCTCTTCATTGTCACAGCGCACTCAAATGGACCGTACAGTCGTCGAGCCGACTCCCAGTAGGCAGAATACTTGGAGATGTCGTCCAGATTCAATCCTAGAAAAATTTTGTCATAATTTGACATAAATTTATGTTTTTCTTGGGGAGCAGACCTGTATCAAGTTCGCTTCCTTGAAGTGATGCCACAATTGCTCCCATACTTGGCTGACTGGTCATTCCACTCATACTGTCTACAGCTGCATCAACGACATCAGCACCAGCCTTGAAAAATAGTTATGAGCGAAAAACAAAGCTCTGACTGAGCTGAGCTCTGTAAGAAAGCAGCCAAAATGTATTAGATTGTTACAAAAAAATGTCCGTTTTTTAAGCCTACTTTCCAAACAACTTTTTTCCCTCAGAATTTCTTTTTCTATATAGATTCTGCATATCATTGGAAAG